ATTTTTAGGGTTACCAACTTTGGAGAAAATATACTGAAGGCCTTTTTTGTTCAGAGTGATAAAAAATGAAAAATATGAAATATAATTGTTAACGTTCATTATACACATTAACACTTCCAAAAGTTCTTGGAGCAAGTACACTTCTCTCGTCGATGATCGCCCCACCCTGGAGAAAAATTCCTACGGGCACCCATAGTTGAATTATACATATTTGGCCAAAAATTGTTCATGACAAACCGTCCTGCAGCGGAGTATTTTAAGGATTATCATCAAAGTAAAGCAGTATTTCGAACATTTTTAGAGCATAAAATAATCTTTGAATAGTCCACTTGAATGTTTGCTCCATTTACAACTTCATCACCATGTGTTTCAACATTGATGCTTTTTTAAATCCATGCGAAAAGGATTCATCTTCCTACCCCAGGTTTTACCTTCACCAAAGATTATCAGATAATCGCCAGGAACCTTATTTTTTCTAGTTTTGATGCTAGCAAATTAACTTTTGGAAACCATAAAGCTTTCTCATTTTGCCAGCATGAGAGTGTCTAAGTCTCACATATAGATTCGAATAGTATATAATATATTCGATTCATCATATTCTTTTTTGATTGCAGCACCTCTTGACTAGTATAGTGTGAGAAGTAAGATGCTTGACGAATACTTACATCATACTTATATTTATTCACAGATTTTCTTTGTGTGAATATTTCAGAGGGAATAAATATTGTTTAGTTATTATATATCTATCGCTAAACTATTAAAAACATCATTTTATTTATGAATGAGTATACTATAATCACTACTATCATTACCCGGATGATGATTCACCACTACCAATTCATTGTTTCCCGAACAAAGTTTGATGTCTAATTGAAATTGAAATGCGAATCCTACCAGGATATAAATTAAAATAACAAATAAAATTTATCATTGGACGAACATTGCATTATTCTGTGACACGGCCTTGCTTGAAATTCGATACGACAATCCAATGATTGATCTAAAATCCACGTGTTATAGGATAACATAACATGCATTTCCATAATTTGTTGATGTCGCGAGATATAACAAAAGCAGTGCCTTGGGACAGATATGATGTAAGCTCTTTCTCGATTACGTTTACATGAACAGTTGTTTACTTTCTGCTAGTCTTGAACAATAAAAAACAGTAATCATTGAACCGTGCAAGTTAATACAAGAAATTTTTCTCGACTGATTGGAATCAGATCAACACCTAACAATCTTTTTTTACCTTGGTCCTCTTCGATCTTTTTTATTTCTTCTTCCCTTCATTTTTGCTTTGGCGTAGGTGGCCAGACTTAACACACCTACCAACTGATACACCAGGTAGCTCTAGACGAAAGAGATTGAAATTGAGATACAATAAACCCTCAACTATCCGGACTCCTACTTATCTGGCTCGCCTAGGACGCGGCGCCGCTAAACATAATTTTTACGCAGCAGGTAAAAATAGATGACTTTTTAAAAAAGTAACACATATGTAGATTATTAAGATGTATTTACTATAATATAATATACATATTATTATGTATTATTTATTTAATAAAATTGTGTATGTTTGGACATTGATTCGGCTTCTCCGGCTTTTTCGTTATCCGGACTAGCTGCCCGCCACCTTAGGCCGGATAGTTGAGAGTCTACTGTATTATGGTTTTATATCATTTCATGGAAGGTGTTGAGATAAACCGAGAGTAAATACATGAGCGAATTAAAAATATTTACGGCCCATCGGCGATGTAGCTTTCTTTTACCGCTGTGCCAATGATGCGGCCGCCCATTGAGTCTGCCAGACACACTCGCGTGACTCCGGCCAGAAGCGCTTGGTGCGTCCGCTCCTTTATCCCTAGGGCGTCGAGATTGTGGAACAAGATGCGTGCCTACGCGGCTGTTTCGGTATAAAAAAAGCAAACAAAAAAGATAAATACATTTAAGTTGTCAGTTGAAGAATACAGATACGAAGTTCATTTTGGTGCAGTATGTCAACTGTAATACAAAATTACACTTCTACTTACCCTTTTTAATGGCTTAAAACATAAAAGATCAACAAACAATTGGGCCAATGATGATACGTTCACTGTGTATGTACATTTTATTGATATTACGTTGTTCCACCATACAATAAATATTTTGAGACCCATATTATTATACGATTATTACGTGAAAAATATGTTTTCTTTTATCGCTACTATTGAGCCAGTAATTACTACTTTTATTAAAGTATTTATAGCGTCTGGCATCGTTTCGCGAATATGATCTACCCTAAATAATAAACTGTGTGCCAGTTTTTTATTTTAGATCGTAAAGTGAGTTATGCAAGGCGAGTGTTAAGATGATGTAATGAGAAATAGTTTCTATTATTTTTCTATTTGTTATATATAATATATAATAAAAAAGAGGAAAATAGTGGAAAAAAAAGAAGGAAAGTGGATTCGAGCAGAAAGTAGGATAGGTAACCCGAGCGATACGTATTTCAGATGGTTGGCTTCATCAGGCCCCAAATGAATGCACATATGCAACTACAAAAGTACTACAGATGCCCATACATGCGGATACGGTTGTAACCTGAGGAAACGAAGATGGAGAGGAAAAAAATTGACACACGAAGTCCACGACAAGAACCAAACTATACACTGTAGTATAAAATGGCTAGAAGACCTCGAATTGTCGGCACGCGGCCGGTTATAGCCACTTGCTGTGGTCCTTCAAGGATCTACAAAGAGAAAATCATCATGCGGAGAAAGTTATATGCATATTGGAACAATGAAAATCCTCATGCTTTTTTAGAAGCTTATACCTAGTACCCCCAAAAAATTAATGTATGGACAGGCATTTTAGGAAACAAAGTGGTTGGGTATTAATGAAAATTTGAATGGAGACATTTATTTGGATATGTTGGAAAATGCCATTAATCCGCTTATCACTGAAATCATTGAAAACCAAATCGAAGAGGATGGAAACCCTATACTTGATGAGGCTGAAATATATTTCCAGCAAGACGGCGCTCCTCCTGACTATGTTCTTCCGGTTCGGCAATGGCTAGACGACGAGTTTCCAGATAAATGGATAGGGCGAAGAGGGCCTATAGAATGGCCTGCTAGATCTCCTGATTTGACGCCATTAGACTTTTTTCTATGGGCCATTTGAAATCTATTGTGTTTTCTCCCCAACCTGAAAATTTTGATGATCTTCGTCGACGCATCATCGAAAGCTGAAATGATATCCCACAAAGTTGTTTTTGAAAATGTCCGTCAGGAATTTGTACATCGCCTATATCATTGTTTGGCCAATAACGGGCAACATTTTGAAATAAAAAGTGATGTTTTTATGTGTTTTTGTTTTCTATCTGAACAAATTAAGATAAATAAATTTTTTTCTAATTTTCTTGAAAACGAATCGACCGATTTTAAAAAATCAATCGCTAAAATAAAAGACTTTAAAAGACCTTTCAAACAAGCTACTTGATACACCTTGTCATTTCAAATTTTTAAGAGGATGAGCCTGGGGGTGCAGAGGGTGAAAGTGGGTGAAGTAGTTTTTGGTTAAAAAGTTGTCCCCTTTGACAAATTTTTTGACTTGTCTCGGCGTTTTTTCTTCTAATCAGTGGTTTTCGATAAATCCGTGGTGGGAAGTTTTCAAATGAACACCCTGTATGAGTTCAATTTTGTTCTGGGATCTCTAAAGTGGTGAAATTAACCTTTAAAGTCAAATTTCGATATCCTGGCACAAAATTTGCCAATTTGAGAGGAAAGTATATAGGTGTTGTTGGAGATTGAGTTAATCAGAAATGTTAACCATGTCAAAAATGAAGCAACAATCTTTATTCTTAACTAGCTACCGTAATTATTAAAAGATATTTGGTTCAGTATACAGTGTCCCCAAGATGGTTAAACAAAGAAAAACTTGTGTAATGCAAGTATCTTCCATATGGAATTTACAGAATCTGGTCATTTTCTGATTTTGAACTATTTGAAAAAAAAAATAATTTCGAAAATTTGCACGATTAGGTATACCTACTTTTTGCAATTAACTCAAAAACAGAAAAATGCAGTCAAATGTTGTAAACTGGGCTCGGAAGATTATATTAGCAACTTTTTCCTTATTTAACTAACATTGTAGCTCTAACCGCTTTTGAGATTTCAATGTTCAAATTGTACAAGCTGTATACTGAAGTACTAGTTTTCTGCGAATATATCTCAAATGCAGCGGTAGCCAAACGGACAAACAATGTGTTGACGTATTTGTGGGATAGTTAACCTCTGTAATTAGCTCAACGCCTAATAACATCCATATATCTCTTCGAGCACGATACAAATTTTGGGCCAGAATATAGAAAATTGGCTTTAAAGGTCAAAACATCAAATCCAACAAACTGTATGGAATAAAACAACGAGAAAAAGTCACTTTTGACTGAATACTTAAGCTTCCACAGTTTCTCTTCAGGAAAAACAATTGAGCCCGATATGAGAGATGACCCGCCCTTTAGTAACATGAAAATGAATTCTGGTACAAGAAATCGGAAATTTGATTCAAGGGCTTATTCGACCAGTTGTGTGCGTTTTTCGTTTTCAAAAAAATAAACACTTTTGACTTATGAACCCTTCGGACAATTCTACTTCGGAATAGTCACATATTATGGGGCCTAATGCTTTTCAGGGATATGTGCAGCGAGAAAATGGAAAAGCTACCAAAACGCTAAAATTCATATATATTTTTAGAACCTTAAGCGTGTCTTCAAACTGAACCGTTCGACCTCAAATTTTACAGAACGTTATGCCTCCATAAGTACTTTCCAGGAAACATTTTGGGCTCCATCTGAGAAATGAGCCGCCAAGCCAGGTCGTGGAATGTTTTGTTTTGTCCCACCTGTACATTTTGCACGATTATGTTTGTAGTAGCAGCGGTTGTAACCCACCCGGCATCTCCAATCAAACCATAAACATTTAACACCAATCGATAATAATCACCATCAGTCTTATTCGATCGGGCTCCACAAGCACGTCGATTACATTCAATTGTTTGTAGTAAGAAGCTCTTCGATTGTTTTTCTTGTACCGAAGAACCGCCGCGAAATCCTTGCGGTTCGTCCTTGAATTCGATCATCTTCGAATTTAATTGTTGCGGCCTCATCATCCCGGCTTGTATTTTTTTTTAATTCTGTCTTGAATATTCGCTAGAGCGACGTCATCCTTGCTTTCCGGTTTCTGTGGTGCGTTCTTTTGTAGCTTCAGAGGAAGGAGGTTCCATACCTAGCGGTCATAGTTTTTTTCGATACCGACCAGTGATGATGTGCGGGTAGAGTGGCCTCATTTTGGATTTGCCTTGTGACTAATCCGTGCAGGTATTTCAAAAATTCTGTAGTTTGCGAAGCGTAAACTTTTTTGACTTAAAAGCTTCTATAAACTTAGTAGTCAGACTACATATCAGCGCCAATATAAAGTAATAAATTCTCTTTTTTTTAAGCGGCTAGATTCCGAAATTCTTGTGCAAATGTAAAAAAAAATAATTGTAGTCTTGAGTTTTTACTAACGTTTTGACCATCTCGGTGGTCTTTTTCAAAGTACAGATAAAAAAATGACAGTGATCTGTACCTACTTTTAAAAAAACCACTGAGGTGGCCGAAATGTTAGTAAAAACGTAAGATTACATATGTGGTTTCATTTAACTGTTTCAGGTGTTACATTATAAAAAGAAATATTGGACTCTTGTTATGTGCTATCGTTTTTATAAAATTTGAGGTGCATAAGATTATGTTTGGAAATCTTTTGTATTTGTTTGTTAAAGGAAGCCAGATGCGAGCTCGGTTTTTTTAATAGCGATTAAACAGATTAATGTAGGTACTGGTCACTAAAATAATGTTTATTTCAAAAAGGTACATGTGAACGAAAAAGCAAGAAGCAGTTTTTAAAGCGGGGCTTTCACGTAATATTAAGGAGTTGCCTTGTGACTAATCCGTACAGGTATTTCAAAAATTCTGTAGTTTGCGAAGTGTAAACTTTTTTCACTTAAAAGCTTCTATAAACTTAGTAGTCGGACTACATATCAGCGCCAATATAAAGTAATAATTTCTCTTTTTTTTTGAGGCGTGTATATTCCGAAATTCTTCTGCAAATGTAAAAAAAAAAATAATTAGAGTCTTAAGTTTTTACTAACGTTTTGACCATCTCGGTGGTCTTTTTCAAAGTATAGATCAAAAATGTGACAGTGATCTTTACCCACTATTAAAAAAGCCACTGAGGTGGCCGAAATGTTAGTAAAAACGTAAGATTACATGTGTGGTTTCATTTAACTGTTTCAGGTGTTACATTATAAAAAGAAATATTGGACTCTTGTCTTGTTATCGTTTTTATAAAATTTGAGGTGCATAAGATTAGGTTTGGAAATCTTTTGGATTTGTTTGTTAAAGGAAGCCAGATGCGAGCTCGGTTTTTTTAATAGCGATTAAACAGATTAATGTAGGTACTGGTCACTAAAATAATGTTTATTTCAAAAAGAAGCAGTTTTTAAAGCGGGGCTTTCACGTAGGACCCTAAACGCTAGTCACCTAGGTAATAAGTCACGGGTATTAGGAATCACTTTTTTTTTCATTAAGTTATTGATAAAACCTGTAAGTTATCCTTTAGCTAATTAGTGTGCCTCGAGCGCCACTGATATAAGCATTTTGGGAAATCATTTTGGATCAATATCTCAGCCTATCTTTGAGAACTACAAGGTGATCTATCTAAGATGGGAAAGCTTAAATACCCATTATTAGGGAAACAAAACGTTTGCAACTGTGCTTATATGTTTTTTCTTTCATAGTTTAATGTGCGGATCTGCCCTTTAATTTTCCTTATAACATTCGGTAACATCTTATATACAATGTATATGTTTTCGTAAATACAACATTAGAGTGAACAGCCTGAAAAAAGTCAACTTTTTGGGAAGAACATTCCAATATAGAGATTCGGTGTCCGTCATCCAATGCAGAGATCGCCTGAACTATTTTACACGCTGTTGGAAACGTTGTAAACGTAAATTTAAGCATTTTCACGTTTTTATGTTATAAAATTAACTATTTAATTCCACGTCTTATTAAAACATTTTATCCGCCTTTTTCATTCTCATAATTTCACTAACACTATTTCAGGGATTTTTGTTTTTACTACTTTGGATTTAAGAGTATAAATCTGATTGTATGTCGTTAGAACTCTAACATTTTATAAAATAAATGTTTAGAGATACCTATCAGTAATTCCATGATATGTTTTGAAGTCGCTCTAATAAAATGCTGAAAACTGTCCAGATCAAGAAAACGTTGTTGTTGTATGTATTAAAGTGAAGTGAGTCATATGAAAAACATGAAACATATAAAAATGTAAAACATAATTTTCATAAGTGCAGTCATAATTATTATCATCAAAATTAATGTTTAATTTATTCCACGTTGTACACTCTAAGTGCGTCTGACCACTAAACAAACCTGAAAAAATACTATTTAAATGAACATGCAACCAGATAAAAGTAGGAATAGTTCTAATTACATTTGCATGTCGCCATTTGTTGTATTATGCATTTTTATCAGATTAACATATTGGAATAGCATGTAGAGCATGGAAATCCTATTTTTCTAGGAAATCGGTTCTATATTTTTACGTATTATGTTGCTTGTTGAACTATGTGAATTGTCACAAGAGCAGTGTCACGGTCTAACTTGTGTTGAACGTAATTCTTTATGAACTGATGACCGCGTTAAGTCGGAAGTGTAGAGTCAACCTACTTGACGCCGTTTTTTGAACAAAATTGCATTAGGCCAAAAACATTCTTTATGTGCCCTCCACCATTAATTACATCAACTATTTGTTGAAATATCCTTGGAAAAAAAATGGAGTCAAACAAACTAACTCAGTAGCTTCCATGCATCACAGGTTTTTGGAGTTGGTCTGAACTGATTGATGGGTCAAAACTCACATAGTCAAAATGTGTGACTTTTATGTCTAACTTACGTGTGGTATAGCAAGATCAGAAGCTGCTTGATAATAGAACATCTTTCACCGGCAACTAAGGTTGCAACAATTACAACACCCAATACAACCCAATTTTCAGCCCCTCTAAAAATTGTTATAAAATTGAGCAGGAGTCGTTAAAGATGAAAAAGCATGTTTCAGCAGTATTTACTTGTTGATTTTTGCCGATAACTATGTCGCTACTTGATCAATTTTCAAAACCTTCACGTTCTTGGCGTAATATTAGCTTAGTAATATATTCCCATCATTATCCAGGCGTTAACTTCGAGTTATAGAGGGGTTAAGTATTACCAGACTGACAGACCGACATACCATCGAAAAACAATATCTCATTTTAGAAATGTTTCGTGATTACAATACTTCCTCGCCATCTGACGTGGAAAATCAAAGCTTGTTACGGAGTAATTTCCATCAGGTGGGTAGATCACTGAGCTTAAATTAGTATTAATTGCATCGAACCACAAAAATCTCTACCAGACATGATGAAACAACTGAATTTTACGCAATTGGTAGTTGTATAAACGATTCCTCCAAATATGGACGAGACAATAATGATTTGTCATCTGTGTGAAGCCCGATGAGTCGCAAACCAAAACAAATTAACTTCAAGCTTTCCAAATCAATTGTTTTCAGCAATTAACACTTCGGCTAAATCGAATAAACCACTGTTATGACATTGGTGCGGTTACCTAAGGGCCGTATCGTCAGTCGTTCCTACAATCGTAGGACGCCTTTATGGCCTCCTTGATTTTCATAGTTTTCTACTGATCCGTATCAGCGCTCTGTTTTGAGATTATGTCACAAATATCTATTTGCATCAAATTGTTCAGGCTTTTGATTTATATCATCTGTTGTATCTACCTGAAATTTCCTGTAATTGAATAAGAAAATATAACTTCACAATAGGAGAGCGCTGACCCTGACACGCAACAGTAGACATCTAGAAATACCTCAGCCTTTCTGAAGGAGAGAAAATAGTATGAAAATCAAGGAGGCCATAAATGCGTCCTACAATTGTCTGTTAGAAGCTGACATACCCAAGTTGTCTCATCATCATATGGAAATAAGGAACTCGGAATAGCCTGATGAAGACGTCATCCCAAAACAAGACAGCTTACAATTTTAACTTTGATTAGAACACAGCCTTTTTATCGCTTTAATGTTCTGAGTGTATTTCAAACATCGTGAAACATGGTGGTGCGATTTGAATCAGTATCCAAATCAGGCGCCGCGTGATGTGTATGTTAACCTAATTTTTTAGATTTAAAAACCCGAAATTGGCACCTTTCTATAGCAATAACGAGGTTATCGATTTGACATTAGTTGACGGTGAGTTTTTTCGAAATTTTACTGATACATCGCGAGCAGGGCATGCAATTATCGAAATCTTCGGATGATCGATAAAGAAAGTTACTTTTTTTTCGATACAAACCGATAATTATCGGTTCTCTTTATCTTTATATTGAAACACGAAATATTTTCATTATGCATTCCTTAATAAAATTAGAAACAAAGTAACCAAATCTAAAATCAAATAATAATACTAATAATAATAATAATAATAAATGACTTTATTGGATACAACAAATAATCTTTTTACAAAGGTAATTTAGAAAAAAAAATACAGAATTCATTGCCTAATATTGGCTATATAGCTTAAAGCTACTCTACTGAACCAAAATATGACAAAAAAAAAATAATAGTAATAAGTTTTCAAACAACAATACAGAATAATCATAATAATGTGTCACTATAAAATTTGGTTACTGGTTACTATTAAATTTGCTTGACATATTTTTTCTACTTATATACCTATATTATCAACTTCAAACTGTATTCTAAAAAAGTTTATTCAGATCTGTATTTAGCAAATATTTCATATATTGTATTTTGAAACTTGAAAGAGAAAGATTAAGGAACTGGTTGGGAATTGAATTAAATTATTTAACAGCATTGTATGAGAATGATCGTTGAAACAATGCACTACTATGAAGCGGCATAGTTAATTCTTTTAAAGATCTTATATTTATATCATGAATAGAATGTCGGAAAATTAAGCGTTCTCATAGAATCAGGTAAACCTGGAGTATTTATAATTTTTAATAAAAAACTATAAAAATGGACGCTCATTCATTTTAAGCCATTTAATTTCTTTATACAAATGAGATTATGATCAAACCTACGCAGACCATAGATAAACCTGAGGCACGCATTTTGCACCTTCTGAATCCCACCTCTACTTGCCTGATCTAAGCAAAAACCATAGACAAAATCGCAATAATTGAAATTGGAAAGAATTAGGGATTCACACATTTTTTTTTTTTTTTTAGTGATCTGTTTAGTATGTGTCTTGTTATTATACAAAACTTTTAGAGAACAAAATGATTTTTGGATAAGACTTTTCAGGTGTAATTTAAATCTAAGCTGAGAATCTAAAACTATACCGAGTTTTTTTTTACTTTCAACAAAATTCAATCTTGTATTATTAGTCATTATATTGAGATTAGATTTAAAAAACTCAGCCTTAGATTTGTTACCAAAAATCATTACATGTGTTCATGTCCTCATTTATACAATTTGTAGTCCTCAATATAAAAAAAATAATAAACCTGGGGGTCATCCGCGAAGGCCTGAACTTTACAAAACGTAGGGATATCAGATGTATAAATTAAAAATAACAAGGGGCCCAATATTGATCCCTGAGGAACTCCCGATAGGATCTCGGCTTTGTCTGAAAGTGTGTCATTTGATAGAATCGATTGATAACCTCCTGTAAAATATGATTTTAAAAGCAAACATGCTTCCTCATTAAAGCCATAGTACTGAAGTTTAGCTACCAACAATTCATGTTTAATGGTATCAAAAGCTTTTGAAAAGTCTAGAAGTACCAAAACTGAACTCATCTTTTTATCATTTGCTCTTAATATGTCATCGAGTACGTTTGTTAGAGCCACTGATGTACCAAAATTTTTACGAAAACCACACTGAGTACCAGGAATAATATTGTTACTCAAAAGTCATAAATTTGTTCGTACAGCACTCTTTCAAATATCTTTGACAAAGCAGGAAGTATACTTATCACACGAAGTTCGTTAAAACTTGATGGATTAGTTATTTTTGGTAATGGTTTTCCTATGGAGATTTTCCACTTGTCGGGAAAGTAGCTTGTTTCAATGGAACAGTTTATAATATGTGTTATATACTTTATCTATGTACGGACTGGAATATTTTAACATTAAGGGCGAAATATCATCTAATACCGGTTGCATTACTTTTTATGTTGTTTAAAATTTTGTTTATATTTGTTATTTCTGCTAATTTAAAGTTAAAGTTTAAGTTATTTTTAAAGGCATTGTTTTTATAAAATTTAATTTTTTCCGAACTGTTAGATTTATTTTGTAGAAATGCAGCTAAAAAGCTATTAATATCATCAGGTTCTGATAAAGACTGGGGAATTTCATTATTTTTTGTAGAACAGGTATTAAAACTTTTTAAAACTGACCACAGTTTTTTGGAGTTACCTTCAAAAGATTCTATGTATTCCTTTTTCTCTTATTAACGATAAAGTAAAATTACTTAAATGTTTATAATCTACCCAGTCTGATTGAAGCTTTGATTTTTCAATTTTTTGCAGTGCTGCATCTCTTTGTTTCATAAATAATTTAATATTGTTAGTTAACCAAGGCGATTTTGGTTTTGTTATTAGTGATTCTTTTATTGGTGCATGCTTACTAAACAATGTAAAAATTAGATTATTTAAAATAGTTATTTTATTATCAATATTATTCTCATATATTATTCCACGGCAAACTTTGCATATCTGCTAGAAAATTATTCAGGTTAAAATTTTTAAAAGAACGATGTTTTATTATTTTAGGTGATTTACTTTCCTTTGAAATATTAAGATCGCAGTAAACCAATTTATGATCTGAAATGTTATCCGCCGATAAAACCCCCGACCTAGCCACTATCGACAAGTTAGTGACAAATATCGCATCAAGCAGAGTACTAACCGTTCCAGAAATGCGTGTATAATTTTCAAATAGGTTAAATAAGTTCTCCCAAACAATTTCATCAACTAAAGGGTAAAGACAGGAAAATATGTTATCAAAATCAGGAATTAGAACATTAAAATTAAGCTTTGGTGGTCTCACAAACATTTCAAACTGTTTTTTTCCTAAAAAATAGTTCGTAAAAACAATACACTCGTTAAAAGAGTATATTGCAAGGATAAGGTATAAAGAATAGCGATGTATAAAATGATATAATACGAGTACTATGTGATGCAGTGGTTAGTTGAATTGTGAAACGTACATTTATGATTCAATAATTTAGCGGAAAACTGATAAAGAATAATTCTTTGTATGATTGTGGTATGGAATTGTAAATGATGGAATCATTATACAAATATGAGAACCCTCGTTTGAATAACATTGAAGTATGCTCCGGTATGACAACAATTTTGTTTCTTGGGGTTCTGCTATGTATCTGGTTATTAAAAATATTTTTTGTTCTAAGATATTCAGGTTTTGACTTTAGAAGTAATTTATGGATCAACACTGAATACAGGCCATTGATTCTGAATCACTTAAGTATTTTGCAGAAAGATGATCAAATTCACGTAGCCTAATTACAGGGTGGCGCAGAGGAAACGCATGATTCACTCAGAAAACATGCGTTTCCTCTGCGCCACCCTGTAAAAATTGTTTTGCATGATGTGTTTTATATTTTATATTAAATGCTATTGAATTGGATACTGTAGAAGATGTAGACATCCGCAAATCTTGGAAATTTAGAGACAAGTCAACAAACTTGTGTTTTTGAATCGCCCGGCGACAACTTTTGCAGTATTTACGACCAATACAAGTGACAGGGCAGTGCTTGAGCCTACTGATCAAATGAATAGTGCGTACTTTTTTCGGTTTCATTTTTACGTTGCTGTTCTACCGTATATTAGTTTTGTTATTCCAAACGTTGATTTCTTCTGACAAGGAAAGTCCGAACTTTCAAGACACTCTGTATAGAAGACCGTGACGTGTGCCTTGAAGGTGCTAATAAAGATACCCAAATAAAATTCGTAGTAATTCGGGGGTGTCCGTGTAAATGTCCACCAAAGTCGTCTTAGCACGTCGGCTGCATACGAATCAGCCTCATTATTTCGGCCACTCCTTGTATGCTAAGTGGGCCAGCGGTAAAGCTAATTGTTATCTGTCTTGCCGCCAGCCCGTAAGCCGTCCAGTATTTAGTTATCCTCGGATCGCTTGATTTTCTGCTTACAGAATCTGCATACGCCGAGGTCGACGCGACGTGACTGCGAAGCTTCCTTATGCAACAGACAATAATGTATTCGTCTGTAACCGTGTGTCTATTTTGTTACAGCATTGGACGTGATATGCCAAGCGCCACTAGAACAGTAGTAGGTAATCTATTTTTCCCATATGCTTGAGAAGGAGGGGTATGTCTTTCTCGCGTGGGTATGTACTGTAACGCCTTCGTATAGTTGGGACCTTGAGTGGCGATGGGACGGCTTTGCAGAGTCACGCTTAGGCAACCAGAGTAACGCGTCATGTATGGAGCGTGCTGGCGTTCTGGACCGTTCGCGTCGTAATCGCGAGTATTCGATTCCCGCCTGGAAGCACCTGGTTCGATCTAGACCTCTTGAAAATTCTGAACATGCTGGAATGTTTCTCGACTCGTGGATAGGTGAATAAATACCCGACCAGTTATCCACAGTCGAGACAGTTAAACAACGCGGAATGCCGTAGTCTTGTCAACATGGTTATAAATTGTCATTAATTAGAGCAAATGTTATAAGTTAGTGAAAAAGTACCTAATAAATTAGATTTCACAAAATTTCACGGGCTACATGCCAAACAGTTGGATTCGTCTCAGCAGTCCGAGTGACGCTGGGCATATTAAAATTTTATGAAAACAAAATGGCGGATTTGAATTAAAAAAAAAGTTAACCATGAAATTCCTATTTCACGAGCTACAGTCCAAATGATTTGGTGGATAATTGAGTTTGCGAAAAAACGCGGATTATAATAAAAAAGCATCCTTGAAATTCTTACTTCATGGCTTTGATAGTACATTTAAATCGTCATTCCTATCAGTTTCTGCAGTCGATTGTTTGTATATACCTATGTATATTTAATATCCCAGTGGAATACCCTTGAATTCGAAAAAATACACCGAAATAATTCCAATTTCAATTTCTTTTAGAAGCCCATAACCTGGCAATACGAAAGAAACATGTTTTCTTTTTCACACCTACTAATACAGATGATAGACCCAAAATATCAACGAATGTTAATATCGCTTTTTATCATTGTTCGCTTCACGTGAAATGTCATGTTTACTTATATTTTGTTCGAATACGTAAGCTTGTATTTATGGTCAAGAAAATTTGCATTTGGTGCCAATAGGCTTTAAGTAGTAGTGTATGTGACTCCTGACTAAGATAAAAAATGCAAACAAACAGTAAAACTTACGAATTGCGCTGCTTGTAATTGACTTGAATTGTGAAGCACAATCGTGTGTTGTATATGCAATTGCTTGTTCATGCTTCGGTAATGCAATTATTTGAATTGAGTGCGGTAAAGAAAGAATGCTTTATCAACATCTGCATTTTGGGCGTTGCGGATAATGCGCTTAAATTTGCATATGACTCGAACAAACTCTGATATGGTGAAGCGCATTTGTCATGTGAATTCTTAGTGGCTGAGTAAATGGATAGCAATCGTGACATCGTAATTATTTCACGTAATTGAAAAACTGTTATTCATTATTTTAATTCAATTAGCAGACGCTTAACAGGTAATGCGATTTTTTATTACCGATGTCACACCTAGCTACGCGAGGGTGTGAAGAAATGTATAATGAAAATCGAGTATACGAGGGGGTAACCAGAAAAAAAAAACAGAATTACTTTTTAAAAGCTGTTTCTCTTCAACTTTTTCACAAAGTGACCTTATCTCCTTCAAAATACTGTCCACTACTA